AGCCGTATTTTCAAGCAGATGCCTAATGGTGACTTAGGCATTAATGGCTTTTGTGATGAGGATGAAAGTACACAATAGTCAGCAAGTATTTATAGGTATATGTATTGCCATTCAGATGGCACATAAGAGTTTAGTGGGAACCTGAAGTATGATTTAAAGAACAGCTGCCTGGGGCTGCGTGGGTGGCTCAGTCGGTTAAATCTGACTCTTGATTTCAGCTTAGGTCACGATCTCACCGTCTGTGAGATCGAGCGCTGCATTGGGCTCCATGCTGGCAGTGTGGAGCCTGCTTGGGATTCTCTCTCTCCCTATCTTTCTGCCCCTCCCCAACTCACACTCTCTCTCAAAATAAGTAAATGAGCTTAAAAAAACATAAAGAACAGCTGCCTGGCCAATAAACACAGTGAAAGATACACAACTCGCTAACTGGGGAAAAATCATAAAACAAGACCAAAATGAGATATTGCTTCACACTCACCAGGTTGGTAAAATTATAAAGTCAAACAATAACCAAGTGTTGTACAGCACTACTAGTAAGAGTTTAAACTGATATGACTACTCTGGGAAATAACTGGTCAATATCTAGAAATCTAAAAATGTGCATATCCTTCTTGCTAGTAAATTCTACTCCTACATATAACCTAGAGAGAATCTCCTGTATATAATCAAGGCAATGTGTTCATAACCACATTGTTTGTTATAGTAAATGACCCGACCGTCCATCAGTGTGGTAATGGATCATACTTTAAGTGAGATAAAGTTACAGGTAGCACCATCATAGAATAATTTTAAATCATAGTGAGGAAAGAAAGAAAATTGCAAACACAAAACCATTTATAAACAGCTTTAAACATGGAAAACAATATTAATATATTGCTTATGGATAACTACATATATAATAAATGTTTAAGAAATTTGGAATGATACATATAAAAATCAGAATAGTATTAGGGAAAGAAAGAGGGATGTGATTGGAAGGGTTGCCTAAGGCTCAAATCCAAACCCTACCATTTACTCACTAGCTCTGCACCCTTGAACAAGTTTCTTAAGCTCTCTGCCTCAGTTTTCTGATCTGTGAAAGAAAATAATAATAATATCTTCTTCACAGGTATGCTTTGAGGATTAAATGAATAAATATTGGTAAAATGCTTAGAATAATACCTAGCAGATAGTTCAGTGTTACATGAGCGTTCGTAATTATGGTTCTCATTACACGAATCTTTTATCTTTTATTTATTAAAAAAACCTTAAATATTGCAATTTTTCATTTATAAATGTTTCAGTATTTATTTTGGTAAGTGAGGACTGTTGTTGAACATAACTACAGTATTATTACCCCTAAAAAAGTAACAGTAAACCTTTAATATCAAATACTCAGGAAGTGCTCAAATTCCAGTCGCCCCATAAATGTGATTAATTTTTTATAGTTTGCTTGGATTAAGTTCCAAACAAGATCTGATCTGTCTTTAAAAAAATTTTTTTTTAATGTTTATTTATTTTTGACAGAGAGAGAGAGAGAGAGAGAGAGAGCGCGAGCATGAGTTGGGGAGGGGCAGAGAGAGAGGGAGACACAGAATCTGAAACAGGCTTCAGGCTCTGAGCTATCAGCACAGAGCCCAACGCGGGGCTCGAACACACTGACAGTGAGATCACGACCTGAGCTGAAGTTGGATGCTCAACCAACCAATTGAGCCACCCAGGTGCCCCATTGGCTGATTTGTCTCTTAATATATTTTGATCTATAGATTCCTCCTCCAACTTTCCTTTTTCTTCCAATTTATTTTTTTCTAGCTTTATTGAGGTATAGTTGATATATAAAAATTACACACATTTAATGTATACATTTTGATGACTTTAAATATGTGTGTATACCCGAAAAACAAATAACCCAGTGAAGAAATGGGCAGAAAACATGAATAGACACTTCTCTAAAGAAGACATCC